ATTAAACCCACAAACACAAGGACTCAACTGTCAATTCCATTCAGAGATGGATTCAACCATTAAAACTAAACACCTATTATGTCAATAAACTTATTCCACTATTTAGAGACAAATTTAATTAACTCTTCTATTATTATTAATTGAAATACTAATTATTTAGAATTCTTTTTATTGATAGTATTAAATTTGACATCCATTTTTAGGTTTAAAAGTTCATCGGTTCATTATTGGAAGAAAAGAATTTTTGAAATAAAGCCATTAGAACCATATAAACAATTTTATAATTACTATTTTAAAAATTTGAATCATTAATTATTCATACCTAGGCTAATCATTATTCATTACTGAGACTTCACTCCTATTTTAGTTCTTTAAATTTATTTCTCATGACACAATGACAAATTTAAATCTCTCCGGATCGATATCTTACTTCTCGCTCTCTCAGCCTCTCATTCTCTCTTTCTGTCTTGTAGCAAAGTTTAAATATAAGATGTAGGAAGTTATGGAAGACAATCCTTTGACAACTTTTCAGCAGTACAGTATTATACTTACAGGCATGCATTATTTAGCAGAATTTGATAGCAACTTACACAAAACTTGTCATTTCTGATGGACATATTTCCAGTCAAAAATCTTGTGCAGTTAGCTCAGGGGGCTTTCCTTTCAATTAAAATAATATCAATACATTACTGTTCATTATAAGTAAGAGGTAATCATGCCACACACAGCTCAGTTATCAAAATGAGTACAGAACACTACAGAAAATATAAAGCAAAACATACCAATAATGCACCACCAAAATTGCTGTTTTACATTAATTGGCATTATTAATACAGCATCCTTTGAAAGATCCTAATGTAATGAATACTTTTCAGTGTCACATTCTTATGATAGTTACTACATATGTACCTTCAATTGAGCAAATCGAACTACAAAACATGGCGGCAACCACAGTGACACCATCCACAAAATTATCATGCCTATCTGAATAATTCAAGCAAAAGCATCATAATGAGATGTTAAAAATAGGCTGACTCACTGCTTGTATAATTTGTTTCACGCAAAAATGACCACTGAAATGGCAATCTTCAGAAATTGTCCTTTTCCCAACTTTATAACAGCCTATATACTCATCTGTTATACTGTCAGAATAGGCTGCAACTTCGCTATTACCTTCGTAAGCCTTAGAAAACTCAAGAAAAGCAATTCCGGTTCCCTCCATGTGACTGGCAGCCATCTTCATAAAATCATGATACACCAGTGCAAACAGCACTGTTACACTCAGAGTGAAGATTCATTAATGTAGCATTACATCCAGTATCTTCTTTGTATAACAGCAATATATCAGACCAGAGATATCAGACAGAGTTAAAATTACACAAATGAATCAGAATGATATTCAATTGCAATTAGCCACGCCTAAAGGTACAATGGAGGACTGAAAAGGTCTAAATGAGTGTTTTGTTCATTTGTGTCACTTAAGCGACAGAGTGCCAAAAAAGCAAAATGGAAATCATGCATGGTAAGTGTTGATAAGATTGTAATACATGTAACCAGTATTACATGTAACCTATGTGTGTGCTTTTGAGAAATAAGTAACTTTATCAAACTATTCCTTTCCTTCCTTATTGAGGTGGCTAGGTCCATTATGTAACTGTTTTCTTGTGTCCCTTTCTTACTTCCCAAGCCGATGAACTCTTTTTCTGTTTGTACTGTATATGTATATGTGGTTACTAGTAGTAATTGTCGTTTCATTTTTATCTGCGGTACAGTGTATTATAATAATAGTGCTATTGATATTATTAGTAGTATTAATGATGATCTATTTTACAATGATAATTATTGTACATGTA